TTAAATATCAAAATAAAAATCAAAAATATTTTAATCATTACCGAAAACAATCAGTCAATTTCCGAAACATCGTATGGCATTTCCGAACAGACGGTCGGGTTGTACTTTTCCCAAATAGTCAACACGGAGTCGAGAAAGAGGGTTTAAGCAGGGTTTTTCTGAATATAATTTAATGAATTATCTTCAAATTCTTTACTCTGAATTGGACATTCATAACATTCCTATGTTTGTTCTTCCTCATTCTGTTCCTTGGCGTTGCCTAATAGCACCGTGTAATACATGGACTAGAGGCTTGGAGTGGAGTTTTTGAGTATGGAGTCACAGGCACCTGACATAATAAAAAAAATGTACACATAGGTATGTGTATATTTTTTTATTAAAAGAAAAATAAGTAACGTCAGGTGCCTGTGTATGGAGTCTAAGATTTAAAAACACATGAATGGATATTTATACTAAAGAAATTACATAAGTATAAAAGTCTTTCTTTGTTTTATTTTTGGCTGTTTTCATATGATAATAACCAATGAAAGGCTAACATACAAACGAAATGAAATCAAATTATAGTAAATAGCCATCGCATCCAATTAACAACCTTTTATGTATCTGCAAATATTTTTTTTTATTTCAATATACATTTTGCATTGAACAAAATAATATGGATCAGCCTCTCACTGCCTACAAACTGCATCAACTTTTACGCTATGACCTCACCTTGACAAGTGCATTGCAATCAATGAATCGTTTACTATATATCTTGTTCACAGGCACTTGTGGTATGGATCCCCTTTCTTCCATTTTTTTTCTTTTTAAATATGGGTTCGAGTCATCTTTTTCCTATTTTTCTATTCTAATATGCACTACATGTTATCAATAATGTACATCTATTTTCTCTACAAGTTGTTTTTAAATATATCGTTTTCGACTGATACATATATATAAGAATTTTATATGGATGCATTTTCTGGCGGTGTAGATTCAAGTTTGTTAAAATCAAGACCCCTGGGGCTAAGGTAGGACCACAGTGTTTTACAAAGAAGTATATAGAAAAAATCTCAAAAAAATCTTCTCCTCAAGAACAGCAATGCCATGGCTGGTCATACTTATATGAAAGCATCCTAAGATACGGTAATGTAGATTCACGTTTGTTCAAATTATGACCCCCAGGATAGGGTGCAACAATTAAAGTTCAAACTTGTAAGGAAAAGGTCACAATCAAGAAAAATATGTAAGCATCCTTAATTATTGTAAATTGTTTAAAGTTAGTTTGTTTTATTAAACTCATTATTTATTTTCTTCCTACCAACAGTGCTCATATAAGCGATGTTGCCCCTGGACCTGTTGCTTTCCTTTAGTTCTTGATTACTGAAAATATCATTTTACAAACATTTTTTTTGCATTTTTATCTTATCCATACTTGATATACGACAGGGATTTTCTGTTTATGGAAATAAGAACATTCGATGACGATGAGACCTAACACCATATTTGTATTAGCCAGTCTGATGAATGTGTGGAAACTTGGGAAAGGAGGTAAAAGGTTTTAATTTTACTTGAAGAAAATTTCACCAGTTTTGTGAAGATTTTTCACTTTAAAAATGTTTGGTTGCCCTCTTCCGACCAAATTGCCAATAGGTTTGACCTTCTAGTATCAATCATGTTTTATGCATTGCGGAAAATGTATTTAGAAAAATTTTATTTTGTACAAATTTGCTGATTTTTATATCAATCTTCCAATACAAGAATCCCCCCGGTCTGCATACAGATCATATCATTCTTTATGATAAAGGAGCCCATACACACCACTTTAACTTCAGGGAACTCTACAAAGTTATGAAAGAATTTGAATTTATCTTGTCATATTTACAACATTACACCTTATTGCCCCCAACTTCTGTCAAATATGACATGTATGATGTGTATGCCCTAAACTTCCAACGCCTTACTTCATACTAGTATATAATGACATCTTGTGAGCCTTGCTTCATATATAATGACATCTTGTGAGCAAAACCGCTACCAATGCTGCAGTGGCTGCCCCAATACAAAATGGATCAGTCCGGCCTATAATGTCCTTGAACCCCCAAATTAAAACCGGAAGTAATTTTTTTTAAAACTGATGAGAACTTATACCTAGTAAGGCGGTTATCTTCATATTGGATAAATGATCATGTTCAATGTATGGGAAATAATGGGAAGTGGGGTCTATATCTTTTTTTAATTTAACATTCTAAGAAATAAAGTTGCATTCGAAAGAAGCTTCCCACTTCTCAATTCGTTCAAATGGTTAATAGATATCGCATGTTTAGTTAAGGCTGCGGATTTAAAGCTCGTTGCATAATTTGAAATAAGTTTATCTATTGTGCACCAAAAATGCAATGTTTCTCGATTTGATTTTAAACTTTACTAGTATATAAGCAGAAATGCATTGTTTCTCGATTTGATTTTTAAGTAAATATAAGCATGTTAATTACCGTGTTTTGTTAACCTACTTCATTAGTTTACTACTTCTCCATCAAAACCCCATGTACATGTAAGAGCTGTACAAAGGGTGTTCGATCGAATTGTCTTGCCATCCAAGATGACCAAAGTAGAAATTGATGAAATTTAACCATTGTCTCAATTTCGGTCCAGAAGGGTATTACATCTAACAATGGTTTTGGGAAGCATTTCACTTGGATGTAGTTTAAAATATGTTTATTCAGTAATATTTTGAGATAGCAGCTTAAATATGCTTATAAATAAATCGAGAAACATCGCATTTTGAACACAATATATAAACACTTTCAATAAGTAGCACTCTAGGTCTTTGTTTGTTCTTAAGGCAAGCCAAATACAAAAAATGAGCTAAACATAGTTTCACAGTAGATAAACTAGATTTATCGGTTGTAAAGTAAGGTTAACAACGTTAATCTATGTTAATCTATATTTTACATCTGTAAACCATAGTTAACGCAATAATCTATGTTTCAGAACCGTTAACAATACTCAACACTCAGAACAATCATAATGCGATTGCAAAACATAGATTATCAGATAAATACAGTTTCACGATTTGTAAACTATGGTTTACAACTCTTGACTTTAGTCAACGATCTGATAAATAAAGTTTCACGATTTGTGAAACTATGATTAACAAATATTAACTATAGTTCACGATCGTAGATTATAGTTTAGAGACGTGAATTTATGTTTATCAACAAAATCTATTGTTAACGTTTTATTACAGACAGATAAACATAGATTAGCATTCGTAAACTAAAGTTAACACCCATTAAATATAGTTTTCCAGATGAAAACTATAGTTAACGAATTGTTAACTATAGTTCACAGTTTGTTAACTATTTAGTTTACAGAGTCGATAAACCTAGTTTATCAACTTCATTTAGCTCATTTTTGTGAAATTGGCGTGCCATACGTTCTTCCCATTTCTTCAGACCAGCGAGCTACAGATCTGCAGCTACTTTGGATATCCGATGATTAAGTGGTTGTTAGTCAATATGTTCTCGACAAACTACCATTTCGTTTATAAAAATGAACAGAAGTATGTATGCCATGTTGTAACGTCGTACAGAGAGACCCCATAGACACCATTTATTAATATTAAAAGTAATGGAGGAATCTAATTTCATGTTTATAAAAAAAGGAAAAGAAAATTGAATTGATGAAAATCTTTTAAATATGATATATTTAAACTGGTTCAATATGTATAGGAAGCATATGAAAATTGCTAAAATATTCTAAAATGTTAAGAAAAATTGAGAAAATTCGGATTAGTCATTATCCAATTACAGTGTAGTTAAATCATTATGTCAGTTTGGGTATATTTTCTAATAGACACTAAAAGGTCATGTCTTTTTATGAAAAACGAAGAACATTTAATCTTTTGAAATAGAAGTAGGCAGCGCATGATTGACAATAGTAGTTCTTTTTATTCGTAATGTCAAGGGAAGAGATAATAGTCTTGACCTGACCTAGCCTCCAATTTAAAACGGTCAAATTTATTCTAACCGATACAATCATTAATATATTCAAGGGCATTGCACTTCCTGAAAACAAAGTAAAATCCCCTTCACCTAAAAATGCTTTGTGGAAAGTCTTGTTGAATTTAGTTCAGTGGTTCTTGGGAAGTCGGCATACATAGATAATGATTCTTATTTCAATATTGATCTCTACCTTTAAACGACCACTTAAGCTGTAGATCACTTGGACTGATTGATACTGCATTATTGTTAATACTATCCATAATGTTGTTGGTAATATATAGAAGCTAAGGTGAAAATATAATTATTGAATGATAGTACGTGTCTTTTTTAAATCACGTGACACAAGATTTTGCATACTAGTTGTTAGGTCATTATTTACAAACTGGACCGCCAAAGGATTTTTCGTGATTTCCTGATCATGACAAGGCCCATACGGCGTATTTGACTGGTTGACAGGGGATGCTCATTCCTCCATAGCACCTAATCCCCATTCTGATGTTTTAGAGGTCCATTTTTTCTCTGCTCCAATTTTGTATTGTATAATGGACTTTTGAGCTTGAACACTGTTCGTTAGCGCCGCATATTTCACAAGTGTCACTCAAAAAATTATCTAGCCTCCATCAATCTTTAATCATACTCCATTTACAAAAAATGTATTATTTTAGACTAGTATATTGTGTCAAGATGCTTTTTTACCCTCTGTTGCTTACTTTGTAGGCAACAGAGAGGATCTCATCGGCAATTTCTTTCTTTTTTCTTTTTATTTCTAAATAAATCATCTTTCAAAAGATTATCAGGCTATTGTATAAAATGTAAGGAGAGTTCTGGAAATCGGGCAGACATGTAGTGTATAATATAAAACAGGGTTTGGAGAGTTACAGTGAAAATTCTGAGACCTCATTGCACATCATTCTACAGGACACCACGACAATAATACCTATGGTATCAAAATTATTTTTCAATAGTTAAGTCTATTTCATCACTATTTTTATTAATACATTTTACTTGAGTTTTATATTATTGGGTACCATTAGACTTTCCTACCTCAAATGAATAACAGACAGTTTAAAAGAATTTATATTAGTGTTAATTCCTTCCATTTCATCCATTGGCAAGTTATCTATTACCACAGTGGAAATTCTTACCTGTCCATCCTCCAGTTCTATCCAGATTGGTTCAACTACCACAACCTTTCAATTTGGAGATGGCAGCACACCCTATAATACGTAATTTTTTTTTTTTTTTTTTTATACATTTTATTTACATAATTACATACTTGATTTTTTTTCGACATTGGAAAAATGTAAATTAAGGAAGACCTATTCTTTAATTTGGTGACAGACTTTTAAAAATATTTTGATATCAATTTTTATTTAGACATTTTTATATATTGATCTTCATTGAAACTAGGATTTACTGCCAATATTGTACTTTTCCTGATGATCACGACAGCCCGTATCATATACCTCTCTTAACACTTTTTCAGTAGCACTTACAATTAGTATTTATTTGTTTTTAGTTTAAATAAAAAAAAGAGGTTAAATTTCACTAAATAAATGAATTTTCGCTCTCCTAAAATAATTCTAAGTTTCCTCTAAAATTGTACTTTAATCGCCAGAAATAAAAGGTTAATGAAATACTTCTTTTAAAATAGAGTCTTGTCATGTACATGGACAATCACAGCATCTGATTCGTCTGCAAGTCTCGTCATTGGGCAAAACTTAAAGTGTGGGGATGGCGACATGCTAGAAATAACCAACGGTACTTACTCGTTGAAATCAGGATGATAATCTGTGAAAAGCAAAATAATGATTTAAGTTAATAAATTGTATGTTCATTCACCTTTCAAATATTTAATGCTTTTTTATTTTAAAAATTAACAGTGAATTCAGGTGCGGCCAGACAAGTTACTTGCTGCACTGACTGCACAAAACCCGCCGTAATCACAGGAAATACAGCAAGGATCACCTTCACTTCAGACTCGACTCAAAGGGCTGAGGACATAGGATTCTCTCTTGAAATATTTGCTGCGAAAGATGAATGTAAGTCAATAAAATGTTTGAACGGCCCGATTTTTAGTTAAAAGTTCATTGATAGATAAAGATGAATGTAGGTAACGATGTAAATGACCTTTGCAGTTTGATCAATTTAAGAAATGTTATGGTTTACATTAATGCATATTTACTTATATCTTAATTTTTCTATCAAAAAAAAATTTAATGTCAATCATAAATCATTTAAATTATGTAAAAATTGTATTTAGCTTTTAAACAATTTACATACAGAGATTTATCTTTGTCTTTAATAATGGTACATGAATTCACATAAATATTCAATTTCCAGCGGGTTGTACAAGTGGGAACAATAATTTCAGTATTCCGATTTCTTCCCCCTATATCATCACCTCACCTAATTTTCCAGGATTTTATCCAAAGTAAGTATAATAGGGTTTATCTCATAAGGATAAACCAGGTAATGTAGCGCAGTAATTGCATGTGCATAATTTTCTAATGGGCAAAGGGCACTAACTCTTAAAGTAAGTCAATTGTAATATCCTTGTCGTATATCCCTTTTTCAATATGCTTTAGAACACTCTCTAAAAGAACTTGATTTTTTCTTTTGCATGAAATAGAGCACAACATAGAGTAAAGTAAAATGCCTTGGTTGAAAAAAAAAATGACGAATGCAAAATAAAAATAAAAAGTGTTGTAACACTAACTACATCATTTCAGTAATTTTGGATAGGACAGGTCATCCTTTAACATAAAATAAGGATATACAATTTTTTGTTCTTTATATAAATTTAACAAACAAATTCAAAGAATTGTGTTTCCCCACTTTCTATGGAACGCCAGATCTGCATGACATGTTCAGAAATAAAATGGAGTTCTTAAGATTAATGTCCGCATCTGACTTTCAAAATTTCTTAAATATATTTTTGTACAGTATCTCCTCGGATTTTTTCCTTCACTCTCAATTTTAGTGAGGTGTAGAGAAAATGGCTGACATACGAGGAGTGATTAAAAAAGTTAACGAACTTCCGTAAAGGAATTAAAATTTAGTCTTAAGTTAGATAAATTTTATTTCTTACAAGTACATGTACACCATGTATATCCCAACATGCGGGGTGTATGCTATGTTGTACGCAGGGTGTATGCTTCCGAAGCGAGAGAAAGGGGGTCAATGTACGTTCTTTGGCCATTTTCTCAATTTACGGATATTTTTCGCCATAAAGCATATGCCTACGGAAGAAAGCATTATCTAAGGAGTATATGGATACTTATGAATCCACTGGACACCTTCTAGTTTCATCAAACACCTCAACACAATTCCGTGGATCGGATCAAGATTGACGCAACACTGTGTTTATGATCGAATATCAGAACAAAGCTTTGCTTTATCGTCACTTTTATATTATTGTTAAATACATGTTTACAATATAAACGTTTGTACAAATTGTCTGTAAATAAAACAGTTCGTATATAAAGATATTGACGAAAAATCAATGTTGTGTCCGGGGTGTATGCAACATGTTGTACGCGGGGTGTATACACCCCATATTTTTCTTAGGATTGTTGTGCGAAGTATCAATGGAAGTTTTATTTACACAGGTTTAAAAGCGACAAATAGTGTTGATAAAAGATCTTAATACTAATGCCGAACCAAAAAGTAATTTCCATAAACGTACTGAAGTAAAAAAAAATAAACTAAATTAAAAACAAACTATCATATTCAAGCATAAAAGACGCTAGATGTACAAGGAGCGATTGTTATCTATATTGTAGACGGTGCAATGGTCTAAAAAATCTCTCCAAAGCCCCCCCCCCTTCCCCAATCCCTGCATTGAAGACACTTTGCCCTTTCTTCGGCTCGTTTTAATCTAAATATCTGGCTTGTTAAAAATAATAAAAACACTACATGAATGGTGTATTATGAATAAATCTTTTTATTTTTGTTTCTGCAACATTTATGTTATCAATACATGTACTTTTAAGTATTCATGACAGTGATGTAGAATCTTTTTTGAAAGGGGGATACCCGAAAAAAAAACCTTGAGATAAGTGGACTAGCTATAAAAAAGGGGGAGGGCTTATCGAACTCAAAACTCCTAGATCAGATGGGGTTGTAGGTCCCGTCCTTTTTCAGTACCAATTCTCTCTTTGTTTTTTACTTAAACATAAAGCATAACCATTGCATGGTTATGCTGCAACAAAAAATAGGGGACAACCTGACTTTCGATGAACATTTTCTAAAGCGAAAAGTTGTGTCTGGAACAAAAAGGGGGTGATATTACGTGTCTGTATGATATATTAATTTTCCTTTCAATTTTTGCAATATTTGGACTCATTTTTCCTTATCTGATAAGATTTCGTATTTTACAAATTACAATAAACATGTAAAGCCGGCTATAAAAATGCACATTTGTAATAAGGGACGACAATTTTCTGAGGGCATGCATAATTGAAAAAAAAAACAAACAAACTGTTTTTGGTACAATTACAATTTCACGGTGACGTGTAATTAATATCAATGAATGTCCACTCCTCCTTTATTTTATTATTGTATATACACGTAGTAAAGATACCCCCCCCAAAAAAAATAACCTAAGACACAAACACACCCTCCTCGGGCCCATTCCTAGAAAATATGTACTCAGTACAATACAATGCCTCAATCTTAAACAAATAGTTTACTGCCAAATATGGACTTATGGGGCCAAAGTACACAACGTAAACTATTACGTATTACTATATAACGCATACTACATGAAGGAGAAATTTTTTTTGGTGTTGATGACATTACAAAAATCTAAATATTTTAAAACTCATTTAAAAAATATTAAAAACAAGTTAAACAGATATTATGAGGAAATGTTAAATGTTCAAAATGATGCATGTGTGAAGCATTTATAAGGAAGGGTCTGAATAAGGTGCCTTTAAATCGATAGAAGGGATGAAGTGCTGGTTATCACATTAAACAGTTAAACAAAGTACCCTGTACATTTACTTCCATGTGCATGTAAAGCCGAAAATACGATGAACGTATTATTTCCAGTAAATCGAATTCATGAACCTGAAGTTGTGCTATTACAAAACTGGTGAATAATTAAGGGGAAAAAAAAGAGAAATTTATCACAAAAGTCAGATGTTAAGAATTTTTTAATGACATTTCAGACAATGATCCTATAGAGTAAAAAGAGGGGTATACACCCCGCGCACAACATGTTGCATACACCCCGGACACGACATTGATTTTTCGTCAATATCTTTATATACGAACTGTTTTATAATAAACAATTTGTACAAACGTTTATATTGTAAACATGTATTTAACAATAATTTAATTTTGCTTGTATTCTTGCCTCTCATTGGTTGATTTCCAAAAAGGAACGCATAACATTTTGTATAATCTGGTTTGGTTTGGGGAAACACCCCCTTGACAACCAGCATAATCATCTGTATCCATCAGTCCCCTCATTTCCAGTCCTTGGGATTCATGGAAAATTCCAGATTTAATGAATGTACCTTTAATTTCAAACAGTAACTCGATCTTACCTCATGTAAACAAGCATCATGGCTGCTAGATCTATGTATCAGTTTTTACCTCCCCTCGCTTCCCATCACTTCCGTTACTACGGTTGTATTATTGCGCGGTAAATTTAAACTCATAAAAACAACACAATTTTACATCCCCAGTTGAATAATTATTTTAAAATTGAATTATAAGGAATGACTCTTATTCTTGGCCAAATTATCGAGTATAATATGGTTTGGGTCAGTTTACGCTTTTTTATAATCCGCTTCGCGGATTATAAAGCGTAAACTGACCCAAACCATATTATACTCGATAATTTGGCCAAGAATTAGAGTCATTCCTTAAATAATATTAAAATGACGATAAAGCAAAGCTTTGTTCTGATATTCGATCATAAACACGGTGTTGCGTCAATCTTGCTCCGATCCGCGGAATTGTGTTGAGGTGTTTGATAAAACTAGAAGATGTCCAGTGGATTCATAGGTATCCATATACTCCTTCGATAATGCTTTATTCCGTAGGCATATGCTTTATGGCGAAAAATATCCGTAAATTGAGAATTGAGAAAGAACGTACATTGACCCCCTTTCTCTCGCTTCGGAAGCATACACCCCGCGTACAACATAGCATACACCTCGCATGTTGGGATATACATGGTGATGTAGTACTCTCTGAGTTTAATGCATATATATCTGTGTTTTGCCAATGCTTCACGCGGTCTCGTAACAGTGAACTGTTCACAGATGCTGAAAGGTTTAACGAGTCACGTATATATCTTACCAAGCGAGTTAATATTTTAATATCAAATGGACAAAACCCATCAATAAGCTGGATGGGTAGGGATATTATCTATTCAAAGAATGAACATATAGTAGCCATACACCCTGAGCTACTGTAGTAAGAGTCGCTTATCTAATGTGAATCAAGTATAGGCGTTTTAACTTTGTTATAACTGATATGCATTAAGTCCTTAAAAGTTAAACTAATGATATTTTAGGGATTCAATTATTAAAATGTATATTATTGGGAAAGTTTTTAACCATTGTAAATGTAACTTGGCGATATTACCATAACAAATTGTCCACGAACAAAATCGATTTTTGCAGTTGACGGGTTACTTTGACATTTAAATATTGAACCTGTATCATGTGTGGAGATAAAGAATTAAATGGGTAGAAGATAAGAAAACATTTGTAGTGGTCATAGGTACACGTATTTAATCTAATTTATTTAATCAGTATTTTATTATCCTTTTTCTATTATATAAAGTCAGATAACATATTATTGGATTAGACATAGGCATTGCCTTTATACATGTATACACTAAACACACATTAATAGAATTTATCATCTTTTTTATCATCACAATAAAGTATTTTTCTCATTGCACCTTCTGATTTTTTTATATTCACATTGTTTTACTGAATAATTTTAACGCAATGTACCTAGTATTTTTTAGCGACATTGAATGCCGTTACACGTTTACACCAGTTCCTCCGAGTCTAGGACTTGTCATCTCCTTCCAGTTTATCAACCTTGATTACGATAGAGGCTGTTATGACTATATCGTCCTTAAAGAAGGTTTTATATATATCTAAGTTTTGTGCTTAAAATCTTTTTTATACCCCCGCCGCTCCGAAGGAGATGGGGGTATACTGTTTTACCTTTGTGTGTCTCTCTGTTTGTCTGTCCGTAACAAATTTTTGGTCGCAGTTTTCTCAGCAGCTACTCAGTGCAGAAGATTGAAATTTTAACACAATCTTCTCTGAGGCATGCCATATGGTGGGATTCAATTTTGTTTAAATTCGATCTCAACTTCCTGTTTATCAGTGCGTCTCTCCGTTTCATACATATAAGATTTTCGTCGCAGTTTTCTCAGCAACTACTCATAACAGATTTTTAACACATATACTTTGTTGAGACATGCTATATTGAAGTATATATTTTTATACGAATCTGATGTCAACTTCCTATTTATCTGTGCATCTACCAATCACTTATCTTGTGTATATTAACACTATATTTATGTTCACATCAGAGCGGGGGTATTACTAGTGAGCACTGGCTTACAGACTTCTATAATACATATTAAACATAAAACAGGTACAATTAGTTTGCTTATGGTTATAGACTACAACCAAGGGACATTGTGTAAAACTAACGTCATAAGAACCTCTCCAATGGTTAAAATGTGATACAAATATTTGATATTTGATACATATTTCTTAGGTGACATAAATGGGAACCCAATTGTTAAAATATGCCAGGGCTATCCAGTTAGTAGTCCTGTTATATCTCCAAATGAGACCTATAGAACCAAAGGGTCATTGTTTCTTCATTTTTCATCTGAATATATGATCCCAGCACGTGGATTTAGAGCTAGTGTCCAACAAGGTTAACATAAAATCTATAAAATATGCAAAACTGGTATGTACTTTTTCATTCAGGGATTTACGAAACGCCGGGATTGTCTTATATGAAATCAAACATGATATTTTCTTTGTTATATTCGGTATTATTTTAATTATATGAAGAAGTTTTTACTTTATATCATGTGCGATTTCCATTATATACAGTACTCTTTTATTATACGATGTAGTTATGTCATTATATTATGCTGTGGAAATTATATTATGGAAAGGCAGTTTCCAAAAGATCATACACATAAAGAAGAAAGCACCACATATAGATCTAATACTGTGTCTACATCATAATGAAATGCAAAATCTACCGCACGGAATGCTGACATGGCCGGACATAATATTCAACGGTCATCATCATAGTAAGAACAGAAATACTACATACAAATGGATAGGGATGAATATACGGTATACAATGTGAGGACTACATTAAATATTGTTGTGTTTACTGCATATAATGTTAGAACTACCGCATATAATGTTAAAAGCAATTCATATAATGACAAAAACCAACCTCATATAATGAGAGATGTACATAATATAATGACATATTACCTACATCATATAATGAAAGATGTGCTGTAAAAAATGGAAGTTGCACACAAATATAAAGTAAAAATTACATCATATGATTAAAATAATACCGGATATAATAAAGGAAACACTGCACTTAATGTTTATTGTTTATCGTCATATAAGACAATTCGGGCGTTCCATAGGCGTTCATAAATTATCTGTATTTTGTAAAAGGTTAAAAAATTATTAACTTGTATACACGATAAATATTTATTCTTATTTTTTTTATCAATGGTTATTAAAAACTTGCTGATCAAATATACTTAAAATCTTTTCAGATCTAATATTTGAAAACACGGAAGGCACCACAAAATTGGTCAATGAGTCAACGACAAAGAAAAATACCACTCCAACATCAAAAGCTGAATCAACTACTATATCAACAACAGATAGCCGATCAACAACATCCCAAAGCTCAATAGCGAAAGAAATAACAACTAATACCTCACAATTAACAACCGTTACAGAAAGCAACACACGATCAACATTACCAACAACGACAGAGATCACGACACAATTTTCATCTACTACTACGTCTAATGGTAATATACTGCTCTAAGTATTTGCTTTGTTCTATTGTACAGTTATGAAATAGTTTTACTTCATGTCATTTACAAATGAAAGCTAAGTTGGACAGCATCAATGTACATGAAGGTACTTTGCAATAGGCACTTTCAAATTTGAAATGAAATTTTGATCCAGGGGCCCGATTCACAAAGCTAACTTAGGACTAAGTTATATCTTAGGAAAGAACCTTTTCCTAAGTTCATTACTTATCCATTTCACTAATCTCGTCTTATCTTAAGATATTCCTAAGTTATGTCGTAACTTTAAGACAAGTAAATCAATGACTTAGGAAGAAACTAAATATGGCGGCTGCATATACATGTACAAGGATTCTTATGTAGAAAGATACTGTGTGTGTTCAGGGAGAGAAAAAAATCCAAAGCTTTAGGACTTCCAGTATATGAATGGTTGTGATCCCTTCAGGTCATGACTGGTTTACATTGTATGTAATAGCTAAGAAAAGGATTTAAGAATTGTCGGAGATGTGTCTGTATTACTGATAAAAATTAATTCATTCCAAGGTATATAAATATGTCCGTTGATGAAACTGGAACTAGTACAAAATTGTACTTATGGAAAGTTTGATTTCTCGGGCATTCGTCGATTTTCCAAGGTTACTACGAAATAGAAGGTACACATGTTGGGTTAATTCCGTATAATTTAAAGAGCACGATAAAACTGAAAGTATCTCTTCTACTCTGGGAGGGAGGAGGCGTTGATATGCAAGACTTTGATTATTTCCCTCTGTTTCCATTACAGAATATTGGGTCCCATTATCCCTTTTTTTGGCTCATTTGTCACGGTTTCATTTTGCATGGAGATTATAATATATTTCTTTTTTTCACCTTTTTTCATTACTATAAATTTTTCATTCGCAAGAACTTTGGTTTCGCGAATATTGTATTTATAAGTATAATTTTGATGTAGAGTACTGTGGTTTCATTAATATTCGTTGGGCACCAATTTTCGAGGATTTCGTTGTCGAGCAGACCCACAAATTTAAATGTTCATTGAATTATGAAATATGTTATTCATTTGTATAGGCAATGGTTTTGTCCACGAAATTACGTATCCTCGAAAACGTCTGTTTTACAAAATCCACGAAAATTGGTGCCAACGAAAATTAATGAAACCACAGTATTATTTAACACAAAAACCTCAGCTATTAAAACTTTTGTCTTGCTTATTAATAGCAGACAGCTATCTCGCGTGAAAAGGTGTCGCAAAAATATATGGATCTACAGTAGTATTGTTATTTCCACAGTGGCGAATTTGGAATTTCTTTTCTATCGATTTTTTTTTATTTTAATATCAAGATAGTCTTACACAACTAGAGGTACTGTGAGCAATGAGCTCACTAAATAATACCCCCGCCTCCCATATGAATATAATGGCAGTATCCATGTTTTTGCTCTGGAAAATCCAAAATATATGTCAGATCAAAAAGTAAAATAGGAGGTCACAATGGCAATATGTAATAAAGATTCTGTGGAAGTTTCATTAAATTTCCTTCAGTGGTATGAGAGGAGTTGCGGAAAAGAGGCGGGTACCCCAAAGGGTATCAGACGGACGGACAGACATACCAAATAACACTTTTCAAGCGGAGGGTATAATAATATGTACAAGCATGGAGCACTCATTAGAGAAAAAACGGGGGAAAATGAGGCCTCTCTTCGATTGCTAGTCCTTCGAAGCAATCGTTTTAAATTTATTCCTTTTACTTATTGAAAAGGTACTAGTTGAAAAGTATAAAGTAGGTAAACGATTAACAATTGCAAAATTTCAGATACCTTATACAGATCAAATAAAAGGCAAACATATAATTTTTTTTTGTTTAATGTCCCTCTCGAGAATTTTTTACTCATATGGAGACTTACCGCTGCAAATTTGTCCTATACTCGGCAGAGTTGGCACTCAGGGTCATTGAGCAGTGAAGGATCTTTTTGTGCCAGCATTTAATGCAACATGGGACCTCGGTTTATACGGTCTCATCCAAGGACCGGTCTCCACGTCCCACAATGGGATTCGAATCCGCGACGTAAGGATTCAATTAACTACTTACTCCGCGACTCTACGCTCTAACGACTGTGCCACGTGGGCGAAGCAAGCATAATAACAAAAAGAATAATTAAAAAAAAACATGCTGAGTGAACCAGGGGGTATGTATGTGTGTGTGTGAGGGTTTGTGTGCTTTAATATTTCAAGCTGGTTAAAACATACTTCTGTCCAAGTCCTTTCAAGGTGGTTGGTAACATCTAACCCACCCACCCCCTCCCCTTTTCAAACTGAAGTTTTTTTTATTACCTCAAATAACCCGACTCAAACTAAAGAATGTAATCATACTGACATCCTTCAAACAGTTTAATTTCATTAGTCCGTATCACAACTTAAGAATTGTCTTAGGATAAATTTAAGTTAAGAATGTTTTGTGAAACAGCTATGACAAATCTTAGGAACTGCCTAAGTTACAACTTAGGCATATCTTGAGTTATATCTTACGACATATCTTAGGAAACCTTTGTGAAAGAGGCCCCTTGACTGTTAACTTAAAGCTACATATTGATAATTATGTGAACTTTTTTCATAACAAAATTTTAAAATACGATTTTTTAAAAAAGATCTCATCAAAGTGATACATGATACCAGTGATAATATATATCCGTTTTTTTTTAGTTCAATCACATATCTCGGTAGTTTTTTTGTCTTTTATAATTCTTAAAGATACCATGCGGTCAGCAACAGCTGAATCAAGTACTATATCAACAACAAGTATATCAACAATATCCCAAATCTCAAAAGCCAACTCTCCATTGACTACGGTAACGGAAAGCAACACGCTCTCAACATTACCATCAACGACAGAGATCACAACAAGTACTTCATCTACTACTACGTCTAATGGTAATATACTGTACTGTACAATTATTGTTTTAAGTATTATTTTTATAATTTTCTATTGTACGGTTATTCACTACCCTGATAGTTCTTTTTTACAGGTTAATAAGGTCACTTCCTAAAAAAAAGTTACGTTGGACGGCATCAATGTACATGAACATACTTTTCAATTGGCATTTTCACAATTTAGCAGAAGTAGTGACCAAGGACATTTAAAGAGACATAGTTTCAGCTAAAAAAGATTTTAAATTTACAAATATTTAACAAAAGTGTTTCTCATGATTATCAAACATTTGAACTTCAGTTGGCAAGATACAAGAGAGATTCAGAGCTCCAACTCTTTTTTAATGTAAACAGGGTCCATGTCATGTTTTGTTTACATTATAGATTAATTATACTAATATATGTTTGTTCAAAGCAGATAATTTCAGGAAGATAATTTTAAACACTTTTAGAAAGATTCTAGTGATTTTCTGAATTTTTTGTTGTTATAAATGATATTTTCAATATGTAAACAAAAACAAGGCACGAACAGAGTTTACATTTTGAAGAATCTTGTTTGTTAATCAGTAAATGATGTTCAAATTGTTGCTATTCATTAGATGGTACCTTAGTTAGGAATTTTAAGCATTAAGAAGGGTGGGTTTTAAGAATTCAGTTGAAACTTCCTCCATGTCCTTTTCAGCTTTATATTGATAATTATGTGGAAAAAAAGATCGTATCACCCTTACAAATGATCACAGAGATAAATGTATCCATTTTTTGATTTCAATCACATCTCAGTTGCTTTGAATTTGCTTTTTTCTATTATAGTTTTAAAAGATGCCACGCAGTCAACAACAGCCCAATCAGCTACTGTATCAAGAACAAGTAAATCAACAACTTCTCAAATCTCAGCAAGCACCTTAACAAAAGGAAAAACAGCAAATAACTCTTCGTTAACTACAGTCAAGGAAAGCAACACACGATCAACATTACCAACATCGACAGAGATCCTAACACGAACTTCATCTATAACTACGTCTAAAGGTAAAACGCCTGTACAATGTCGTTCTAATTTGCTTCTTTGTTGAAAAGAAGCGTTGGTATCTCGTTTTTAAGAAGTATTTACTCCATTATTAATTGAGTCACTTACATTAAATAGCTACGTTGGACAACATCAATTTACATGTATAAGATCATATGCTAACGTGTTAAGAATATTTGTCTGTATTTAATTGATGATAGTGCATGTACTAGACTCTAAAGCTACATCAAGATTTCTCGAATATATTTTATTGCAATTCATTTGAATGCGATTTTTTTTCCTTTTCTTCTAAATCAATTGAAATCAAACCTTGAATTTCTTTTTTTTCTTCTATAGTTTATTTACATATCACAGTGTACACCTCAATTTTTGACAGCTTGCTTATAAATACAATTACACTCGTCTTGCATGTTTCAATAAAGAATAAATCAAAGCCGATGATTCATTAATTGTTATTTTACATGTTTCCTGGAAAGAATCAATCACGTCGAGAAATGTCAAACAAGAGGTGTTTGTGAAATACTGATGCCACCGTATGGCAGCTTATGGCGAAGATTGATTTTTTTTAATGCAAGTCAAAATTAATTAATAGTATACTTATTGCACATATGAAATATTTTAAATTTTCCGTTAAAATTGTTTTTCATGCTTTTCATCTTCCAATGTTTTGTCGCGCGCGTGACACAGTGGTAAGAGCGTCTGCTCTATAGTCGCGAAGTAAGGAGTCAATCCTAACGTCGCGGTTTCCAATCCCACTGTGGGACGTGAAGACCGGTCCTTATGAGTGAAAAATTCCCAAGAGGGATGTTAAAAGCATGCAATCAATCAATCAATCAATCTAGCATACCTGAGTAACCTCACTGTAAATTTGTAACAATGATTCAAATCTTTGAAACACTTTAAAAAATTATAAAACATGCTATGTTGTTAACAGTTAAAACAAAGTCACGGATTCTCACAAATAATAAACAAAGAAGGGCTAACCAAAGTAAATAACAGTCAAATCTTGCTAAACAAATGTTCGAGGTCATATTGAAAGTGGCAAACTCCGTCAGACATGTATATGCATTGAGGAAATTCTAGTTGAAATCTTCATATCATTCATAAAATCTTGTCGGTATATGCGCATTAAATGAGTTGAAATACAATCCTTATTTATGACTGATTTCGCAAATTATTTATGCATAGATAATGAAGAAAATCATATGTTTATTTATTTGTTTAAAGTCAATTAAGATACTGAACTTTCTGAAATAACTATTAATAAGACACTTGAAATAAGCATTTCACAAAATTTAAAAAAAAAGTAAAAAAAAAAATTACTACAAATATCCGTTTGAATGCTTGTAATCATCAATATTAGCACTTGGTGCTGTATTGAAATCTTAAGAAATCATTGGAGGTAATAAGCCTACTTGAATAAAGATAAATTCTATAGATGGGGTTAGTGATCGAATTTTTTAGCTTTAGACTGTGTAAATGTGCGTGTTATATATAAAGTATATTTTACATACCCTGTAATTATGTTCCCCAAACGAAGTTGGGGAACATATTGTTTTTACTCTGTTTCTTATTAAGGTCTTCCGTCTCCAACGGAAGACCTTATTGTTTTCGTTCGGTTTCTTTTTCCCTATTATTATTATTTTTCTTACCGATTTTGTGCACGCGATTTCTCGGAAACGGCTCGCCCGATTTTCACCAAACTTTCAGATCTAATAGATATTTATCTGAACCTTGTCGGAAATTTTCGACGTTGATGACGTCACTTCCGGCCGTGAGATATGGACGATTTTCTGATTTTTAGAGGGTCAGCTTGTCCTGAGATCTCCTCCCAAACGACTGAAGATATCGACTTGAGATTTTCAGTGAAGGTAGAGGAAGGATAGTAGATGTGACATTTTGCATATAGAGCTTTCCAGGTAAAAAGGCATCGACGCTCGCCTGGGCTCGAAAAATTGGCTCATACGCATCTCGCAAAAATTGATACGTTTTCTTTTATATCTTTTTACTGGTTAATATTTTGTTAAGACATGTATTATAAAAAATGTGCAATATAGTAAGACCTTTCATTTGATATCAGGAAAATGGGGTTAGCCCTTCAAATTAGGGGCATAGAGGGACCAAAATCTCTCGTCTTTAACTCTTTAATGATCAATATTTTGTGATACATTACTGAAGCAAAGATATTCAACTTAACAATTTGCAACAATATATATTAAAAATTTGATCATATGTTACGTAATAAAGGGTCACAGGGGGCTAGAATGCTATATCTTTGACGCTTTATACCTCGAAAAGCGTGAATATTTTGTTAAGCAATATTGAACAAAAGATGGTCAAAATAATGTTCCCAACAATATGCATACTTTTTATTTGTTCATTTTTTCCGTCGACACTTCCGGTGTAAACCGGAAGTACATGAAATCTAAATACATGTACATGTATAGCAATTTTTTTTTTTCATTTTCTAATGAATGTAATTGTTCATTATAGAGATTTAAAGAATGCGTAGCATCTTAATATTTCCACCGGAAGTACGGTTCGTTCAAACCGGAAGTTCTCTAAAAATGAGTATTTTCCATCGAAACTTTCAGGGATGATTACTGCTTGCTTGATGTAGAGTTGAAAGTAGTTTTGAGCACATATGGTCACATCGGAAGTGAGGAAGTAGAACCGGAAGTTCATTGAAATTGATAGAACCTACATTTTATTTGTGTTTCTAAACATATTTTGAAGAATTCTTGAGCTTTTCTGACATTTTTTATCCTATCAGTGGAATTATCCCAACACAGGTCTTATTCCATCAGATATCGGACGGAAGACCTACTCGTTGCTTGCAACGAGATCGCATCTAGTTAAGGTCTTCCGTCTTCAGCGAAAGACCTTCTTGTTATTCTTAGGTTTCTTTTCCACTATTTAAGGTCTTCCGTCTTCAGCGGAAGACCTTCTTGTTATTCTTAGGTTTCTTTTCCACTATTTTTATTTTTTATTATTATTGTTTTTTTTTCTTACCGATTTTGTGCACGCGATTTCTCGAAAACGGCTGGATAGATTTTCATGAAACTTTCAGGACTGATAGAACATCAAACAAAGCTGAAAGTAATTTTTTTGTTTTGATGACGTCACTTCCGGTTTTGAGATTTCCGCAATTTAGTGATTTTCAGGGGGTCTCATTGTCCATCATTTTTCTCGAAAATGTCTAAAGACAGAAACATAAGATTTTCAGCGATGATAGAGCAAGGTGTGCTCTTTTGTCACACACCATTCTCTTTCTCCGGAAGTGCCGCACGTCGGCGCTCGCTATGGCTCGAAAAAAGTTCTACCAGGGACTCAGAAATTTTTGACACCTTTTCTGCAATATCTTTTTACGTGTTAACAATTTGTAAAGACATATAGAACAAAAGTTGTAGAGAATGTCACGATCTTTCAAAAAATATCAACGATAAGGGGCTGGCCCCTATAATAAAGGGCCAAAAGGGGCCGAAAGTTTTTCCTTTATATCTCAAAAAGTATTGAGAATTTGTAATACGTCAAAGAGGCAAAGTTACTCAAAATGTCAAGTGTTATCTAATGGAGTCGTCAAAATACGTCCGGCGACGTCACTTCCGGTCAAACCAGAAGTAGTCAAAAATTGCATATTTCTGATGTTCTTTACAGGTTTTTGGGTAACATATGTCACTGGAAGCTTAAATCTTAATTTTCCGTCCGTCGATGTCACTTCCGGTCAAACCGGAAGTAGCCAAAAATAGCTTATTTTGAAGGTTTTAATGCAAACTGAAATTATAAAGTCACTAGAGACTACTTAGCTCATTGCTTTCTTTTGTTCACGTCACTTCCGGCACATCCGGTCAAAACCGGACGGAAGACCTACTCGTTGCTTTGCAACGAGCTCGGCTCTAGTTTTATTATTATTATTGTTTTTTTTCTTACCGATTTTGTGTACACGATTTCTCAGAAACGGCTCGCTCGATTTTCATGAAACTTTCAGGACTGATAGAACATCAAACAAAGCTGATATATAATTTTTTGTCGTCACTTCCGGTTTTGAGATTTTTGCGATTTACTGATTTTCAGGGGGTCAGTTTGTCCGCGAGTTTTCTCAAAAACGGCTTAAGATAGAAACTTGAGTTTTTGGGCAATGATAGAGCAATGTCTGTAGATGTGACATACGCATTTCATTTTTACCGGAAGTGCTGCACGCCGACGCTCGCTATGGTCCAAAAAAGGGCATGTCGAGAATTTTAAAATTTCTAACACTTCTTTTTTGATAACTTTTCACATACAAATATTTTGTTAAGACATATAGAACAAAAGAAGTGAAGAATTACATGATCTTTCAAATGACATCTCAAAAAAAGGGCTGGCCCCTAAAATAAAGGGCCTAGAGGAGTCGAAAGTTTTTCATTTATATCTCAAAAAGTATTGAGAATTTGTAATACGTCTAAAAAGCAAAGTTGTTCAAAATGTCAAGCTTAATCTATTGGAGTCGTCAAAATGCGTCCGGCGACGTCACTTCCGGTCATACCGGAAGTCGTCAGAATATGCATATTTTTGCCGTTCTTGACATATTTTTGGGTAACATATGTATCTGGAAGCATAAAACTTAATTTTCTGTCCGTTGACATCACTTCCGGTTAAACCGGAAGTGACCGGAAGTAGCCAAAAATAGCTAATTTTCGAAGGTTTTAATGCAAAATCAAAATTATAAAGTCAATGGAGACCACTTAGCTCATTTGCTTTCATTTGCTGACGTCACTTCCGGTCAAAACAGGACGGAAGACCTACTCGTTGCTTTGCAACGAGCTTTGCTCTAGTTATTATTATTTTTCTTCTCGGGAAAATTTTGTCCGCGAATGATCTTGTAAAGTACACATCCGATTAAGGGGAAACCTTTTTAGGGTTAGTAAGCATGTTATGTAGATTTGCGGAACGAAGGTCATTTTGCGCGCACGTGCTTGCAAGAGCGCGCACGTGCAACATGTGAAATGACCAAAATACTTGAAATTGCCGTAACTTTTACATTTTTAAATGTAATGCTTTGATATTTAGAATATATAGACATATTATAATTGTAGATAAGATGACATTGTCAACATGCCATTTTGTGTGCACGTGCTTGCAAGAGCGCGCACGAGCAACACGTGAAATGACCGATTTAATTGAGATAGGCGTAAATATTTCCTTTTTTGATGAAATGCTTTGAAACTCATAATATAAGGATATAGTAGTAGCATAGACAATATGACATTATCAAAATTGCAAGATCTCACGCGCATGCACGTGCGCTTCGCTCTGATTGGCTGAAACTAAAGCCTCAAAATCTTTCTTGTTTTTTGATGAAATCCTTTGAAATTTTCAACATAGCAATGCATTAGGATATCCTACAACATGATATATAACAATTTTCATGAAAACACGTGCATGCACGTGCGCTGCAATCTGATTGGCTGAAACTTTAAATAGCTGTAACTCCCTTGATTTTCAACCAAACAGGATGGGATTTGGAACATAGATAGATATAATAGACTTCTACAAGAAGGTATGGTCACCATGCACATCCATACATGTGCGTGTACGTGCGCTGCAATCTGATTGGCTGAAATTTTAAATAGCTATAACTCCCTCAGTTTTCAACCAAACAGGATGAGATTTGGAACATAGATAGATATAATGGACTTCTACAAGAAGGTATAATCAACATGCACATCAATACATGTGCGTGAACGTACGCTGTAATCTGATTGGCTAAAACTTTTATCAGCTATAACTCCCTTGGTTTTCAACCAAACGGAGTGGGATTTAGAACATAGATAGATGTAATGGACTTCTACAAGAAGGTATGTCACCATGCTCATGTATGCACGTGCGTGCACGTGAAAGGAGTAAAATCAAAAATGCACTAAAATGAGCGTATTTTTTAATACTTTTGGATTAAATACTTTAATATTTAGTTTATTAAAGTATAGATTGTGTAGACAAGATGATATGGTCATTACGCACATGCATTCACATGCGCACGCGTGCAATGCTAAAATTTGAATGAACTTGGTAGCCTTCTAGGTAAACGTTGTTTAAGTCTCAAATGCATAATGTTTGTCTTATTTAATGAAGCTTACAGAGAATATGGCACCAAAAGTGAGATGGGGAGCGTTTGGGGAACATCTGTAACGGTCCCCGTTACAATTAGCACTAGTTCAAAATTGGTGTCTCGATATGAGTGAAATATTCTCGAGAGGGATGTTAAACAAATACAATCAATCAATCAAATAGGAAATAAATTTATTATTTTTACAGTGTCTGGATGTTCAAAGACAATATTAAATGGGAATCTAATCAATTGCCATTCAAGGATCGGAGACACGTGCAGATATGAATGTAAAGGTCCTTTGGAAAACAATCCATCCGTTCCAAATATTACATGCAACTTAAATGGATTCTGGAATTATGACACGAATGATTTATGCCGTAAGCTTTTTAAACCGAAATGCTAAAATTGCATTGTACGGTCTATGTAAACCATCTTTAATGAAAATTGTTTGATTTTTTTCAGTTACCTTATGTAAGTCTGAAATCAAAAATGGAAAACTTGAATTTAATTGTGAAAGAAAAATTGGAAACAAGTGCTCATTTGTATGCGAAGCAGGATACATATCTACTATTTTTTCTTCAAATATTGTTTGCACCTCGGACCGCATCTGGAACGAAAACATTGATGAATTATGCAAAGGTTTGAAAATTTTAATCTTTGGGTAATAAACCTAATATCTTTCAAAATACCATTTAATTGTTTTTCTTTTTAGCACAACTAAGCTGTAAGCTCACGTGAACTTTTCATATCTAAGTTTGATTATGTCTGGTGTCCGTTTGTCTCTGTACCTGTCCGTTTTTAAACTCTTCACTGTTTGAATTTTTGTCAAGAATCACTTGGCCAATTTCAACCAAACTTGCCACAACGCATTCTTGGTTAAGGGAAATTCAATTTTAGCAGTGAAGGGCCTCATCCATATTCAAGTGAAAAAAAAAATTAAAAAGTGCCATCTTCTCAATGATTTTAAAACAAACTACTGGAGAAGTAAAGTTGAAAGTTATGCATAACCCATCCTCGCAAGCCAGGACTCTTGATCCAACATGTTGCCGTTCTTCCCCTTGCATATTTGATTCATTATTCTTGGACTTACTTCTCTCATTAAGAAGTACCAGTTAATTTAAAGCTTTAGACAGTTAGAAAGGGATTTGGTTTACATCTTAAATGCACGTGTTACAAGTTGTTTATCATATAATAGCTTTGTGTGATTAGGTCAGAGATAAGAAAAATAATCAAGATTTGCGATTTTTCCGAAAACAGTCAGCCAAAGCATATTGAATTAAATATACCAGGGATTCAACGGCAGCCTGTTGACTCAGGATCCCTGGCTTGCGAGCATGTGTGAAAGCTTTCTCAAATAAAATGTATATTTCAGTTTTTATTCAAATCACGAACCCCGGAGATAGGGTGGGGCCACAATGGATAGTCAAGGTTTTTTGTCACAATATATAGTGATTTAGTTTTGATTTCACAGAAAGTCTGTCGTTTAGATATTGACAATGTCATAGTTGTATCAGTTGTAGTCAAAGAGTCTGTTAGTCTAAGAATCATGTGAATTCTGTCTATCGTTGTCGTACACTTTTCATCTTCTGATGAAACTCCTCCGAGAGTCAGATGGACATACTATTTTCTTCTCAAGAACAAGAAAAACAAAGTCATCACTAGTTATATTGATATGAAAGAGTATCTTCAGGTACCGGTAGTTCTAAAATCATGATCCTTTGGGGGTAATAGCTGCAAATCTGTACTCGCCAGTCTGAAAAAAAGGATGGAGGTCAGAGAGCTACAGCATGTACAGTGCCACCCATTTTAAAAATATATATATGAATTTATTGCGCAAAAAGGAGTTTACGTTTTTAAAAATATTCAAAACATAACTAGCTGTGTGTTTCTAACATGTTTTACTACTTCCACAACAAAACTGCGTGTACAATTCATGCACGAAGCGCACTGGACTAATGTAAATCACTATACATGGTATATAATAGTATCCTGCCTCCTAATATTGTGGTATAAATACGTAAAATTTTCTATGGTCTCAATTTTAGGCCCGGGATTTTTTTTTATCTTGTGAAAGTAGTAAAAGAATATGACAGAAACACACAAACTTAAAATGTGTGATGATGTATAGAAATTGTTTGCCAATATACCATTTCAAAATTAAGACAAAATTTAATGATTAAAGATTCGCAAGAAGTCCCCCTAGATTCAAATTAGTGAATTTATTTGCAGTTAAACTTGTATATATACATTTAAATGTATTGAAATTATAAAAGAAGATTCTTTGAAAAAGATTTTTTTATCTGTCCTTAATCACGATTTTTTTTTCGTATAATTTTTTTTGTAAAGAAAACGGCATTGAAGACGATGATGGGCCATACGTCTACATCGGATCAACAATAGCAGCTATTGCAGTAATTATTCTCGTTGTAGCTATTGTGTGGAAATTTTGCCTAAAACAAAGAAATGCATCTGGGTATGTATGAACATATATTTTTCTTTTTTTTTCTTTATTGGTGAAATAGTTTTTCTTAATTTAGATAATGAAAGAAAAGGTGAGAGAATACTTTGATGATGATATAGCTAGAGTTAGTGGATGTAAGATAACGCAGAGGATCACAAATTCTGTCAATGCTTTAAGTCGATCCACTTTAATTCGTACCTTATTTATTCCAAAGCTATTTATTGAGTTTCAAAATCTGAAGGTACCTATTTTAATTAACAGAAATAATTACCAGACATCGTTCGTAGACAGGGAACACATATATATGGAAATCGGTAATCCCGGATATTCGACCGGCAATAATAGAAGTGGTATGCAAGAACCTGTTGAATACGCTACAATCGATGACCAGTCCATAACAGGCTATGAGGAACCGAAATCTTATAAATACACGTATTCGAATGCTGTGTTTAGTTCATGATTTTACTAACTTAACAGATGCAATAAACTTCTTGCAGACAAATATTATTGTATGAAACGTTGTATAAGATATATTAATTTTGCAAACACTGGCAAATTAAAGACCCTATTTATTTGTTAACGTATGTACTTCTTAGTTTAATTTCTTTAATTAAAAATATTACCATTTTCTGATGAAAGAACGGGTCTTTGTACCTATTATATTGGACTGAACTATCTAGCAAAGCAAACTGTAAATTAGAAAAATTCGTCGATTTTTTGATCGTTTGTATTTATTTGTCCCCTAACGATGAAACCGGAGAGGACTATAGGTTTCCAGGCAACAACCCCCACCTTTTTCCCAACACAACTTTTTAGTATTGAAACTATATGTTCATTGAAAGACTTGTTGCCCCCACCCCCAATGTTTACTAATGTAAAGTAATATGAAGGAAATGTAGTATTGTATGGGAAAGATGGGTATTTAAAGGAATTGGCATTAAAAAAATATGCATTTACCCCCTTCCCCCACCCACACGAAAACGAAAAAGGATTTTCCAGTTTGGGCAATTGACTGCATTGTCTGAATCGCTTTTCGTGTCTTCTATAGAATAGAAATTGTATCAATGCGGGACTGCAATGTATGAATCGCTTCTCATGTATTGCCAACAAACTTTAAAAAAGAGATTTTTATGAGGTTGACTGTATTATCAAAGAAGGTTGTATAACTCGCAATTGTCAAAATTTTAAATTCTTGGACAACCTATCCCTTCTCCTGGACAAAGAAAAAAAGTCAATAGTATAAAAAAAATTAATGTAAAACAACTGGCTAGTTGCTTTCTTGCCGTGAATAACAAAGGAAAAAAAGAAACGTAAAACAACTCATAAACTTGCCATAGCTTCTACTATTCTCTTTCTGGAATTGCAAAGGCTTACGCCTACATCCACTTTTCTTCTCTTCGCAAGCCTTCATGTCTTCCAGAATCAATAAATGAAAGCCTATGAAGAGAAAAGGATGTAGGCGAAGCATGTTCACTTCTCTAAAGAGATCAAATTTCTATGTGCTTTTTGTTTTGTGTCGTCATGTTTTTTGTGTTGTTACAAATGTATGTGTAAGGCTTGCCAATGTATTGTCATTATGTTCACTCATACAGCATATATATAGTAAAATTCAAATTAACTGTACTTTTAAAAGCACCATGTTCTTAATAAATGAGATTGTTAGTGATTTTTTTTTAAAAAACGATGCAATGTTGCCAATACGTGCAAAGAGATCTGTGACTGCCTTTATTTAGATTCAGCTTCAATAATAGAGCCAAGTTTACTCTTGAAAGTCAAAAAAAAGAACATTAAAAAAAAAACTACAAAGATTGAAAATTTAACAGTTACAACAATAAAGAAAAATATGACATATAAAAAAAATATTCACAATATACCAGTGAATAAGAAAAACATTTAACATACATTCTGTACCATTCTATCCATATCATTTGTCTCATTACCTTCGTTAAATTCACCATCCTCATCAACTTCTGCATCCACATCGGCTTGTGCTTCCACAACGACTTGTTCTGTATCCACGTCGACTTGTTCTACGTCCTGATCTACTTCTGAGTCCTCGCCAGCTTCTCCTTCACCAAGTGATATTTGCAGCAAATTAAAAAAAGATTAAATAAGAAATAGGTAGAAGGAAAGAAAATCTTGAAGTAGAAAACTTAAAATTGCGAGAAAAACTAAATATGTGAAATCTATAAACCAGAAACTTAAAAGAAAGTCATTGAAAGTTAGACAATTGCAGGAAAAGGTAAATGATTTTGAAAAGAAAGAATGTGAAAAGAAATACAATAGAGTAAATGAGGGTGTTCAGTGTAACATTTTGAAATTTTATCTTGAAGAATCGAAAAAAGAAATAGACGTACTGAATGCAGAAAGAGATGAAAATAATGCTTTTAAAGTGTCTGAAGAATTTATACATATTGAAAAAAGGTAGATTTAAGAGATAATTCAAAGAGCAGACTTTACAACTTTAAGTTAAGAGAGTTATATTATTTTTTTTTATTAGTAATACACATGTAATATTGGTGTGCAACATATTTCTCCTGTTGTTGAATTCGTTTTAAATCTTTTTTACAGTAATGTAAAAAAAAAAAAAACAAAGTACAAGTACAACTGCAGTTTAATCAATCTAGTGAAATAGGTGTTTTATCAAGAAAACATGTGAAAGATGAGCTTTTAAACCCTAAAGGTATTAAAATGCACAGAGATGCAACTACAAAAAAGGAGAACATTGTATGATTAATAATTTAATGCTGGAAATAAATCTTTAACTGCTGGTATCAGAGACGCGTCAGATTGAAAGAGAGGAAAGTATGTAAATAGCACTGAAGACATGTTGTCTGATATTTCCGGTAAGAAATGTGATCGAAAAAGTATTTTAGAATCTGTTTCTTGTTTTATAACTGATAAAAGTTCTACAGAACAAAAATTTAATTCCTTTTTATCATGCAAGTGAAATTTCTCATGATGTTTATTTTTTTTTAAATGTTCAGATGTTTGATAACAAGAGTTTTATAATATTGTTAAAGAATTATTAAGTATTCATTTTATTGGACATTCAAGTACACCCAAAGAGCCTTTTGACATGTCTGTTTTAAGCAGTGTATCAAAATTGATTTTTAAAGGTGGATTAGGTGATCCAGATGTTAGACATGTATTCTCGAAAAGTCAATGAACAGACAAAGTCCCCCAGAGGCTCTGATGAATGTTAGAGTAAATCGTTTTAATTTGTTTTTATAATGCTGCTGGTACATTTTTATTCATCAACTTCTATTACAATATCTTTTATCTTTAAAGAGTCCCTTTAATTTTTTGGGGAGGAATGCAATTCATTTGCTTCATCATTGCAGAGCAAATTCTTTTTAACACTTTTGAGAGCTCTTGGTTTTATTTTTAAATTTATAACAGAGTCATACTGGAAGAAAACTTGAGAATTATCGAGTATTACAAATATGAACACTGTTAGTATATCAGAGACTTTTATATGTTTCAAATATCAGTAATGATAACCTTTCTATCTGTTCTGTTGAAGCGTGAAATCAAACTGTTTAAAGGTTAAAGATTTTTATGATCCTGTGTCAGATTTTTGTTTTGTTCTCTTCTTTTTCTCTTATAATTTGCAAGTGTCTATTACATACATTTTCCTTCCTTCTCTTATTTTCAAATTACATGTAACAGGTTGTACTGTCTTTTCTTGCCGTATTTATAATTGTCTTCTGTTAGTCTTCATTTTCCTTTTCTTACCATTTTTTATCATCATTATTATTAAACATTAAAATACTTTAAATTGTAGTTACAGATGATGCGACAGCATATTTCGGTTTAAATATTGTTTGTTGAACAGGATGTACGGCTTTACACCAGAGAAATAAAATTTTGCGCATAGCCGATAAACATGGCTTGGACACACTGACTCTGATTTGGCTGATAATCCTGTGGACGCATCTAAACTCCGTACCGCTATTTCAAGAGCAGCCGCAAAGAAGAGAAGATACTTCCCTTACAGTAAGGAGTCTCAGTCGACCAAGCCCGGGATTTTCGACGGCCTCACGCCTAGACAGCTTTTTGCGGGAGTGCGGGATTTCAACAGTACACAGGGTACAACCAAAAGTTTAACAACAGGACCAATCCTTCATACTTCAGGCCCAACTACCAAGTGCCGGGAAACAACGTCAATTGCCTTTATTGTCAACTCCCCGGGCATTTTGCAAAATTCTGCCCCTACACAGACCTACAGCAAAGAGCACGGCCAATCAGAGTTCCCGAGGCCACAGCAACCTCAGATTCCACAGAACCCAGAAAACAGTAAAGTTGAGTATTGTGCTGAATTTTGTTTGCTTGATGTTAAATCAGATTTCAAGAATACAATTTCTGTTAAAGATCGTTTGAAAAATTCGCAACAATTTTGGGGAAATGTACTGAAACCTTCTGATTATATTCTGAATGTTGTAAAATATGGTTACAGATTAGAGTTTGAAAGTTCTCCTCAAACAATTTTTCTGAAAAATAATAAATCTGCTTTAGATTATTCAGATTTTCTAGAAACATATATTCTTGACCTCTTGAAGAAAGATCTGATTTTGGAATGCTTTCAAGTTCCTTTTTGTGTAAATCCATTAACAGTTTCGGTAACTGCGAACAAAAAGCAAAGGTTGATACTGGATCTAAGACATGTTAATTCTTTCTTTGAGAAAAGAAAGGTGATATTTGAAGGGACAAAAGAAGGTCTAAATTTTGCGAAAAAAAGGGAATTATATGATGAAATTTGATTTGACCAGTGGGTACCATCATATTAATATACACTGGGATCATTATCAATATCTAGGTTTTTCTTGGAAAATTAACGGAATTGTCAGATATTTTGTCTTCACAGTATTACCTTTTGGTTTAAGTTCTGCGGGATACATTTTCACAAAAACATTAAGACCTTTAGTAGCACATTGGAGAGCTTGTTCTTTTCCTATATTTATGTACTTAGACGACGGTTGGCTATGCGACACAAAAGAAAATTGTATGTATATGTCAAACATCATTCAGGCGGATCTATCGCGCGCAGGTTTTCTTGTTAATCAAGAAAAAAGTGTATGGAAACCTTCTCAGAAATTAGATTGGCTGGGTTTTGAGTGGGATATGTGTCAAGGTGTTATTAGTATTCCACATAACAAATTGGAAAACCTGCGTGTGAAGATTTTAAACATAAAAACAAAAAGCACGTTTCAGTCAGGGATTTAGCGTCAGTTGTCGGCTCTATTATTTCTTTCAAGTTTGCTTTAGGTCCAATATGTCAAATGTTTACAAGGCATCTTTCTATTGTTATTGCTCACAAAGCTTTTTGGGACCAAATTTTGGAAATACCTAAGCCGACAGCCGACGAGTTAGAATTTTGGCTTGAAAATGTGTTGTACGTGCCCAATAGAGTTATCTCTCCTTGGTTTCGAAGTCCCGACAGAATAGTGTTTACTGATGCGAGCGATTTCGCCGGAGCTGGCGTAATGCTCGATTCAAACAAAGAGTATTTTCACGCAATGTGGGACGATTTTGAAAAAACGCAAAGTTCTACATACAGG